ATGCGCCGAGCACAACCATGCCTCGCACATCCGCCACACAACCGTCATCGCTCTCCTGCAACCAGCACGCCCCACCATCCATCCCATCAACCCCATCACCTGCTGCTGCTCAACCATCCATACCCACCCGTAACCGTCCTCTGCAATCCAATCACCCCTCATCGCGCATCAACACTCTGTCCTCCTTTATCCCGATCTCCCCCACAGTTGCCCACCGCCTCAGCCAGTCCTCCTTACCGTCCTCGAGCGAGGTCAGCCGGCCAGCTCTTCGTTGCTGGGCGTCGTGCTACCTCTACCTGACAACGACGTACCTTGCCAACCCCACCCATGTCCCTCGCCCGTTGTCCTCGTCGCCGCCACCCGCGCACGCACCCTGACTCACGCCGCGCAGCCGCAATCTGACATCTGCCATCGAGGCGTTGCGCATGCCAATTGCCACCGACCGCACCCTCGCTCGCAGCCGAGTGCTGCTGACGCCAACCCCATCGTCCTCCTCGCCGACGTTACTGCTGGCATGACGACTGCCACGCCGTTCATGGGCTGGGCAAACAACAAGCAAGCCGACCACGCTCCGTCCACCACAGCCGCGCTGCAGCCTGGACACAACCACCCTGGCGGTCGATGCAACGTCGTCGTTCGTCGTCAAGAGCGCGCTGCGGTTCCAGCTCGCCATCAAGCTAACAGCGGAAGCAACAAAGCCCTGCCCTGCTCCGCCCAGACGAATGGGACATCGGGTTGCTCGACGACAGCGAGCACATGCCATCACCCTTCCACAGACTCGTCGTCGCCAGATCGCGCACACTCTCACCACATCCATGCCTCAGTCGGACCCCAGCCATCCCCTCTCCCATCGCCACACCCGAGCCGCACATGCCGCGCCAGCTCCCAGCAAACGAGCACACGGCCCACTCACACACACGTATGCTGGACATCCTCTCCAGCCCGATCTACCACCTCACCCTCGCCTCGGCCTCCAAGCCCCTCCTCAGCCACCCATCCGACGCCCCCAAGGCCGACGCTAAAAAGCCAACCACAAACGACCCCGATCCCATGGGCCTCACCTCCCCCGAGTCGGACGACCGCAGATCCCTCGTCGGCGAGCTGGCTGCCATGAACCCCCACTGTGCACTCAACAACGCTGATGCCCGCATTCCATCGCCATCTCAACTTGCATACGACTGGCCGATCGCTCCCTCACCCTGGCCACTGGTCGGCCACGGCCGCGGTTCTCGATGCATCCACCAACTTGAGCAAGGTGCACGACCCGCCGATGGCAATCAACGCCTTGCTAGTGATGTTCTTGTCGTTTGGGCAGCCACCAACCTTGATCGCCACAAGGTCGCGGCGCTTGTACACCACCGCAGCCACAACGACGTCGGCCGTCTGATCGCTACCGCGCCAAACGCCGTAGACGTTGTTGGAGAAGGTAGCGGCCGGGCTCTCCGGAAGCGTCTCGAGCGCATCCTCGATCGAGTCAACAAAGCCGACGTGACCTTGAGATTCAAAGTCCATGATGGTTGTCAGCGCAGCTGTGCATGTACGTACGGAAGCCGTGAACGTCGGCGAGCTGTGGTTCTCGCCACATCGCACAGAAGGAACCGAACAAGGTGAGACTCAGCAACGCAAGCACCTCTATCCCACTCACAGATCAGAGCCCACTCACAGCCGCAACCCGCCGGGAGCAGCCACGTCTTGCCTCAATCACCCGATCGCCATCTCCTGGCCGGAACCCATTCTGTGACCGCTCTGCGCCCTCGCCCTCCACCACATGACTACCACGCACACTCCCACACATCGAATGCGTTCATCCTATGCTGAAAATACCCGATCCCGTCTCGCTCTCGGAAGTCAAGCAGCATGAGGCTTGGTTAGTACTGTGGTGGGGGACCACACGGGAATACCGAGTAACGCATTCTTCTTTCTTTTTGCCCAACTACATACCCTCCTTGCATGCATGCACCCACCCCCCCTAACCCCACCATCGCCACATCAATCATTTCTCGTTCAATTAATCATGACCAGCCCCATCAATTAACTCTCATTGAAATAATCATACCTTCTCCCCCGGCCCTTCCCCCGGCACTCGCCCGATATCCAAAAAATCGCCCAAACGCCGCCTGTCGCCCTCGCCGTCACACACAACGCACACTCCGCACACCCCTCTCGCTGTGCCCATGGACCCCGCCCCAGGGAACTCATGGGACCCCCCCCCAGTGCAGCAGGGTTCTGCCAAGCGCCGCGCAGGGCAACCGGCCGACCCCGGGCGAGCTCGTCGGTGTTCTTCTTGATCTTGTCTGTCGTCCCAAACAGCAGCAGCCGCTTGCCCTCCCGCTCGTCATCGGCTACCTCCCACACTGCAGTCGGCTTCTTGCCCGACGGCAGCGACGCTCTTCCCTTGTACCGCCGCGGTGCGTCGGCGTGCGGGTACCAGAGAAACGCAAGCTTCTGCGCCGGCGTCTCCAGCCGCATCCACACCTCGAGCGCGGCATCTTCCAGCTCCTCGACCGTCAGCGGCGTCGATCGCTTTGGCGGGAGGAGGTCGAAGATGAGCGCCAAGCTCTCCCGGCTCACCCGCGCTACCGTCGTGTGATCGTTGGCAAACTCGCCGTCGTACTTGGCGTCAAACTCGGTAAAGATCGATGCAATCGACGAGACCTTGGTCTTGTGGAACGGATTGGTGCCTTGCACCACCGAGTTGGACAGCGCCTCGACCTCGGCCCCGGTCACCATCTCCACCTCGATGACCGGCCGAGCAAGCTCGCTGTCGCCCGACGACTCGTAGGCTGGCGAGCCAGAAGACGTAGCCGGGCTTGCCGGACTCGACTCTGATCTCCTCCTCCCTCCACCTACACCCACCCTTCTCACTCTCCCGACACCATCACCACCCCGGACCACATCATGTCAGAGGCAAAGTCCTGAATTCGCCGCGCGCGCCGACCGCCGATCTCACAACCTCACCCCACCCTCACCCCCACCCCACTTACACACCACCACCTTTTTCCATGGTGCGCCCCGGCATGTTCAGGACACCCCAGATCCACACACCACGTTTGGGTGGTGAATGGTGGAGACGATGCTGGCGTCACGCCTGCAGCAGCCGGTCGAGCCGCCATGGCCGACCCAGCTCGACCCGTTCGCCCAGTGCTACACCCCCGCTCTGATGCGGTGGGAGCGACTATCTGGTGACTCAGGCCGAAGGCGTGGCGGGCGCGTTCACTCTTTGCGATCGATGCTTCCGGGGCCCAGTACTCGTGGCCTTTGGCGCCGAGTACAAGCTGGAGGCCAGCGCGGCGGCGGGGACGTCGGCCCGGATCGACATCCCGCCTGTCGCACTGCCGCTGTTTGGCCCGTCGGGGGTGTTCACGCTCGACTGCCTCTGACGGATCTCGCCGCTTGGCACTCCGGTCCTCGACCGTCCTAGCTGGCTAGGGAGACGGTCGTCGACGGCCAAGGACTTAAGCGGTGGGTGGGCAAGTCTGCCGGGCGATCGGTTCCGCGAGACCAACAAGCGGCAGGTGCGGCAGCTGGCACGCAAGCCGGACGCGACGCCGGTGCTCATCGGGACGCACGCGCTCATCTTTCTCCGCAACGCCCTTGACTCGGTGCCGTATGTGACATCCGAGTCGAGGGCGCGTACCTTTGGCTGGCTCGCTAACAAGTGGGTCGACGAGGCGACTGGGGCCCGGCCGTTTGCCATGAGCGGCTTTGGCAAGTGGTTCAAGGAGCACAGCCGCTCACCGTGACCGGTTCATCGCGCTTTGCAAATAACCGTGCTCTGGGCTCGGGGTCCGCCATCTTTGTCTCTTCGCAATCGCGCCCTTCCATCGTCACGCATGCCACTGTTTTCGTGAACAACACGGATGGTTGCAGTGTTTCTCCCGTTGTGCGGCAATTTGGACGTGGCATTGCTGGTCGTGCGGTGTCTCTCTGGGTGTCGCCGCCCGCGTTTGTGTCTCCTGGTGTGCCTGCGATGTGGAGTGCGGGCCTGGCGGGGCCTTGAGCCGCCTTTGGATCTCCTGGCCTGCATGAGGAGGCTGGTCGCTACCGACTGCATCTGCTCCTGCCTCACAAGCATGCCAACCACCTCCTTGGACCCGCTGCAGTCACCATCGTCGACAGTGTCTCCCATCACCAGCGCAAAGTCCTCGGTCACAATCTTCTTGACCTTGCTGATCATGACGTGAATCTCGTTTCTGGCGGGCTCAGGCAGCTTGTTGATGGCCGCTGTGTCCATGAGCGACGTGAGGCCGTGCGCACTGGGCCCACGCAACGGCATCCTTCTCCAATTTTGGGTCATCTGACCGCCCCGTCGCCCAATCCAGAGCCTTTTCGACAGGCGCGCCCACCAAGAGGGCGGCTGTAAGTGCAGCATTCGGCGAATCAGATTGCTGGATCTCGCCTTTCAGGCGCCCACAGTCGTCAAAACGCTCCTTGTCCTGCAAGTTCGACTCCTGCGATTCAACGATCATGTCAGCCGAGGTGTCGAGGGGCTCCTCAGCCGTGGTGCCCGACGTGCCCGACGTGCCAAGCATCTCGTGGGGTGGCGGAGGCTTGAAACCGTGGCGGCGACAATGGCAGTGCGAGCATTTGAAGAACTCGACCGTCGCCCCGTCCTCGTCGTAGATGACAATGCCTGGTTCGGGGCCACGACTCGGGCAATCCCGACACGTGCCTCCCGGTGGGGTGCGTGTGGAGCCGAGCGGTCGTGATCGACAACGCGACGCAGACGACGTACTGGGTCCCGGACGCACCGGGCGCGTTCGCGGTCGCGTTTTCGACGGGCTCGAGGAGGACACGACGGTCACCGGCTCAGTAAACGACGGTGTTCAATCAACCTTCACCTCCTCGTGGGAGGAGTCGAGCCTCAGCCGGTACCGGGCCAAAGTGGGAGCAAGCGCGGACGAGAACTTGCGGCGGGCAGCGGACGTCGCGATGTCGAGAAGCGCCGCCGAGTCGGAGAAAAGGAGGAAGAACTGATCGCCGAGATCGTTGCCCGGCCGGACGCCGACGGCAGAATGAGACCGTGTCCAGCGGAAGAGAGGGATCGACGCGAGGGCGTCGAGGTACTGTGTCCTCTCGTCAGCATCGATAGCGGTTCGGAGCAGAAGCGTTTCCCCCACGGCGAGACGGTGGTTGTCGACGTAGAGAACCTGGAGGGCGGCTCCGGCGCGCCGCTGGACAGGGCGCATGACGTGGTAAAAATCAGGAACAAACGTGTCGTACCGGTCCGCCCACTCGGGCGCAGCAGCGCAAGTCACAGGCACGATGTTGACCAGGAGGGCGTCGTGCTCGAGCTCTGCCATAGGAGGCACGTAAGGGACAACTGCACCAAGTGACCGTGGCGTGGCCTTCGCCTCGGATGCGCACGTGTCGGCAACAGCGTTGAGGACGAGGCGAGCGAGGCGTTCGTCATCCTCCAGAGCAGAGACGATGAATTCGCGCGCGTCGCCGAGGCCGGCCACAGTGACCAGCGTCGACGCCGCAGCAGCGGCAAATGAGACAGATGGCGACGACCGCAGCACCTCGGCGGCGGCGGCAGCACCCTCCGACCACTCATCAGGGTCAACAGCCTCCAGCGCCCGGCACACGGCCGCGCGCATCTCCTCGTGCGACGGGTGGCAGCGCCGCGCCCGGGGGGAAACGAGAGGTGCGGACGAGTAAAGGAGAACGCCGGGCGCGGAGCGGAAAGCCAGCATGCGCAACGCTTCAACGTCCGTGCGCATCGGGTCGAAGCACCCAAACACGACGCCCTGCTCCAGCAAGACCACAGCGCTCGGAGGGAGGCATGGCTCGCCACGCGACTCATCCCACTCCTGGCCTTCAAGGCGCTCGAGCTCGTCCAGGACGAGGAACGCCACGTCGTTCTCATCGTTGCGCACAAGAAACTCAAAGTACTCGCGGAGAACGTAGTGAGCGTCGACAAGGACCTGGGGGGCCTTTGGTGGGCGATACATCTTGAACACGGGAGCCCCAGCACCGGCTTGGAGGGCGAGGGCGCCGTACAGGCACGGCTCCCAGCCAGAATTGTCGTCATTCGGCCCGTACGCAAAGCCAAACAGGTCCGTGGTCAGCTGGCTCATGTTGTGGACAGGCGTCACGAGGTGGTGCTCCCACGCACCTGGCACGTCATCATACGCACCACCCTTGTTCACGGGATCGGGCTTGACCGTGAAGCAGTCGCCCTCACGCCGCTCAGTCGGCGCACACTGGCAGCAGGACAGCAGAGGCGGGGAGCCAGTGGGGATCGGCCGGACGCAGCAGATGCCGAGCCAAAACTGGCGGGTGCCCCGGTCACCGAACGCCGCGTCTACCTCTTTGAGGTAGTCGACCACGTTCTTCTTCACCATCGCATCGTGCCTCGCCACCCTCTCCGTCTGCTTGTTCCCCTTGACCTTCTGCAGCTTGACCTGCTCGAACACCGACTGCTTGATGAGGAGGGCGTGTTTGCGGACCAAGGCGTCCTTCACGTCGCCTTCTTTCACGAGCGACGCGTAATGCACCGAGATGCCGCGGCCGGCAATGCTGTCCTGCCCTGCACGGACAAGTCCGTCCTCGTCGACTGCAAGATCTATACGCGTTTCCTCCTCGGCACCGTACCGAGGGCGCGCCAGCGTGCGATGCAAAAACTGCCCCTCCTCTGCGCCAAGATCAGACAATTTGGAAATGATGTTGGCGCGCTGAGCCATAAGCGACTCCCCGTCCGTGACAGGCATGCCCCACTTGGGCCACCCCTGAACGTTCTTATCTTTGTCAGCCGCCTCCAGTTCCTCCTTCAAGGGTCCTACGTATGCGGCCATGACCACCTATCCAGACAGGTGTGGTTAGGGCGACTCGTGGAAGGCGGCCGTCGTGTGCCTGTTGATGGAAACGTGACTTGGCTGTTTGCTGCTGACGGGTGGCGATTGTTCGCCGTCGGGTGGCGATCTTCCAGCATCATCGACGCTCTTGCCCTAAGCGAAGCGTGCGCAATACACGCGCATGTTGACAGCGATTGTTCTCGCACCCTCTGCGACCGTTCCCAGAACGTTCCCACCTGTTCGCCGTGGCCAGTGGCTGGCGGCAAAACACGACGCCCGCGCGATTTCGACGCCTGGCATGCGCAATGCGCAGCGCATAGGGTCTACACTTGGTATGTGTGAACCCACGAAGTTTCCACAACTTGTACCAAAGGGGTTCACGTAAAGACTAAGGCATGCGTACAGGAGGGGAGAGAGGCCGAGTTCTCTGGCGCCCAGCAAACCGTTTTGATACGTATCACGTCACACTTTCTGAGGTCAAATGGCGAAAAGGTGTAGTATAAAATACTCGCGTCGCCGCCCCAGCATTTATGGGTTTCAGACCCTCCCGCCCGCCACCACCGAAGAAGTTTACCGGCGCATTTTGAACCGCATCAGATTGCACCTCAGATTGCGGTGCAAATAGCAATGCAAACGCGCCCAATCTGGGCCCCTCGTTCACGGCGCCCACGTGATTAGCCCCTTTTCATGCACAGATCATTGCCCGGTTCGAGGAGACTGTCGCCGCCTTTCAGGCCAGCCGTTGAGTCGTGTGCATCCCGTCTCAGCTCAGCGACTAAGCTCTCCGCGGTCTGCCGTGGACCCATTGCGAAGCCATCGTCAAAGCCAAGCTCGGGTCGGATGCCGAGTGGTCGAGCACGTTTGGCCAGCTCTCGCGAGACGAGGTCGACGTGCTGGCGCGCGTAGCGCGAGAGGTGCTCAAGCCGCAGGCGTCCAAGCTGTACTCGCGACGGGATCGCGCTGCCTCGCTGCGCGCGGTTGTGCCGTGCTGGCTGGCGACGCAGTGGCAGCTGGGGGCTGCAACGTGAAGTGAAGTAGGCAGATGTTGTGGAGGGGTTAGAGTTGTTGTGGCCGTGGGGGCCCGGCCCCGTTGCTGCCTGTGGCGCTGGCGGAGCTGTGGGCAGCGCCCAAGGCAGATGAGGTGGATCACGATGTGCTCGCGGGGACACTTTACCTACAGTACAACAACCTCACACGAACTGGGTTGCCCGCGGTGCGACGCCCCCAATGCTGGTGGTGGTGGGTTGGTGGATGCGCCTGCGGACGATCCGCCCAAAAAATAGAGGAGGCACCACTTTGATTCGTCATTGAGGATCTTACCACTCACCAACCCCCTCAATGATTTCTGGGGCATCAAGCGCCTCAAAGCCACAAGCCCTCTCCGCCACCACCTTGGAGAAGCTTTCCGTTCTTGGGGGGTGCCATCCCCCCTCTAATCACGTCCACGCTCCCAGTGCGACCCCGGCCATCATCGTCACGGCGGCCGACAATGCGCCCCACGCGAGCACGCTTGCCTCACTAGCTGCAACCCATCTCCTGCTGTCGACTGCAAAGGGATCATCCTCTCTCGCACTGGGCCGGTTGTATGGCTTGCGGCTGGAGCGCTCATCGGCGACGGTCTAGCCGCTGTGCTAGTGTGGATCAGTTTCGCCGACGCCGACGCCTCGGTCACCTCCTGGGCCCGCGATCTTCTTCAGTCTTCCTCCGGCCCAGCGCTGCTCGTCTGGGATGACCAGCTGGGCACTACTGTGGACGGGGGCGTGTCCGTGACGTGCAGCTCGTCAACGCACTCGTGATCTGGGCTCGTTTGCCGCCGAACAACAGGTTGCAGCATCGCATCAGCAGTGATGCTGCTCTCGGCGACTTGCACATGCACGCAACTGTCGCTCGTGGTATGCTCTCAGGCGTCCTTGGTATCAAGAGGAATGCCAAGATAGTACTGGCCGCACATCCGCGCTCGCTCGGCGACGAGTCCACGTGGAAAGACATCTGAAGAGAGCGCGACAATCTCCCCTGTGCGGCCCAGGCGTATGCGGCTCTTGATGTGGTAGCCATACTCTATCGGCAGAGAGCACGCGTGTATGCGTTTGTGTCCGTGATGCCACACGCCTTCCTCGGGATTGGCGCGGTCCGTGAGGATCCAGGGTGCGGCTGCTGGCTGAATGGGGACGTTGCCTTGTTTGTCCGCGACGGAGCGGGCGGAAGGGGCGGGCGGTGGCGGATGGTGGCGGGGCTTCCCGGCAGAGGGGGCAGGGAAGGGCACGACGTCACAGTGCCGAGATTGACGTCACAGTGCCGGGAGGACCAATGGAGGGTGATGGGGTGGTCTGACGGGAACGATGGATATGTGACCATGGGGGGTGTACAGAGGGTGGTCGGGAGGATGTGTAAGTGGGCAATGAGTATGGTGGGGGTGTCTGAGTGGTGGAGGGAGCAATGATAATTCCGTCGAACACTTTCGGAGTGAATTTTTTGGATGGCTTTGATTTCTGCCGAATGGCTGTGTGAGTGGGTGGGTGGCGGGGGGTATGCGGAAGGTGGGAAGGGTATATCTCTCTGTCTGACAGAGTGGAGAGGAGTATGGCTGCGAATGGTGCTGGACGAGTGGTGAACGTGACGAATACGAGGACAGTGGAGGAGGTGAGGAGGGCTCTGGGGGATGGGGTGGGCGTGGGCGAGGTGAGGGCGGAGTACAACCAGTCCTTCACCGACGCCATGGCCATGGTGGTGGTGGAGATGTGCCCCAACCTCACAACCCTCAACTTGTACAACTGCTCCAACATCACCGATGCGGCAGTGGTCGCCCTCGCCGGTGGC